GGATTTAAGTGTTTTTTGCCTATCAACTCCAAAGGAAATGACAATAACAAAATAAATATTTTGTCATAATTTTCTTTAATATCACAAATATTGTTATGGAACTATAAAATATTTTGGAGAATTCCTCTGAAATATTAGTATGTTTAAATGTTAATATTTTCTTTTAACTACAGTAAACAGTTTATCTTAGGAACACAGCGTGACATCTTTTCTCTTTGGTGAATGATTTTTGCTCTCCTTTTATTCTTTTCTATCATGTCCGTTTAATGACAGAAGTTTCTGTGCCCATAAGGCTCTATGTGTTACAAAAAAAATTTCTTCTAGTCTGAGCTATTGTTACATTAATACTTCTACATGGAGGCAACATAAAGAAATTATAAGTTTTTATTTTAAATTATTAAATATGAAGAGTAAAACTTTATTGGACCATAATGCCATAAATGATACTCTCAAGAAACTGTAAAGATTTTTGTGAATTTTCTTTTGTAGCATGCTGTCTTATAAATAAGACTGCCACTACTGAAAAATATAACACACCCCATATTCCTTTTGTGAATAACCCTATTCTGCCCTTTTATTTTCCATTTAAAGATTCTTTGGCCTACATGTTTTTCTTCTGTTGCTTAACTAATAAAATTGCAGTATTTAGCCAGGTGCAGTGGCTCACACCTATAGTCTCAGCTGCTCAGAAAGCTGAAGCAGGAGAATTGCTTGAGCCAAGGAGTTCATGGCTACAGTGACCTATGATCATTCCACTGCACGCCTGCCTAGCCAACAGAGCAAGACCCTGTTTCTAAATTAAATGAATGAATAAATAATTTTTAATCACAATATTTATCCTTGAAACTATAGATCCTTCTAAACACTAATGAATGAAATACTTCCCTTTCCTTGTACCTACAAAAGAGCAGATTGCATTCCATATCATAAACTCACTTTGCAGATATTATTTTTAAGATCACTTTATGAAACACCAAGACTTCTAGAAATTGGTCTCATATCATGCAAAAGTAACCTTTAACTTCCAAAAGTTCCAAAGTCTGATTCATTATACTTAATAGAGGTAATAATGCTATACCTGACATTTCTGTTTTCTGAAAAATACCCTTTTTTTCTTGAGCCATGCACTGTATATTGAATATTTTATTTTATCCTCAGTCTTATAAGACAGATTTAACAACACCATTCTACTGATGATCAAGAAGAGGCAAAGAGGTTGTTTAATAAGTGGTAGAATGAGGATTCAAGCTTGTTTCAGTCTTTAGTTCAAAACCTGTACCAACCACTACACTATCATGCATATACATTTAAATAAATGTTTTTAGAATGAATGAATAAGCAACCTAATTAACATGTATAACATTTGGAAATCATAAACATACTTCTGACTGGTCCTAACGGCTGATGAGTTTGGGCAATAAGTCTAACAATAAATGACTTGGGAAGAACAAATCTCTTCCTATGAAGTCTGTTCCCTCATATAATTTTTTAATTGTTAGAATTATTTAGTATCCCATAGTTGCACTAAAACACTAAAATTCTGTTTCCTTGATTATAGCAGGAGGGTCTGCGTAGATTTTCTGTAAGAATATATACACACACTTTGGTTGGGGTGGGATGGAATCTGTTTTGCCGTTTACCTGTAACACAGATGTGGCCATTCCTCATCTGCGGTTTAACAGTATTGAGTATGAATCCAATTCAAGTAGTATGCTGGAGATAATATAGACTAATAGTTAATATCCCAGATTATGAAGTCAGATGTTGGAAAGTTTAACCTCTGTCTACTTTAAAATCTTTAAAATGTGGATAATAATGGGACCTACCACATGGGGTGGTTGTACTGATTGAGTAAATGCAGCAAAGGCCATAAGAATTACTGGTACATAATAAACAAAATGAATACTGTTATTTGTATTGTTTACTCTGCACTTTTTCTTACATCTTTCTTCAGTAGCTCTCTATTTTAAGTTACACTTATTTGTATAACTAAGCCTACCTATATGCTTATCTATTATACTTGAATATAATAGATAGACCTATTTATTATATTAATGCATTTTTCTCTTATTGTGTAACTAGATGTATTTGTTTCCACTAACTGAGAGATTATTTAATTCATTTATGGAGATCCTGCTGTGTGAGATATTATGCTAGGTTCTGGGGATATTGTCATGAGCAAGACAGCTGTGTTCCAGCTGATTAGAGTAGTAGTCTCAGACATACTTTTACGCTTCACACCTCTGTCAAGAAACATTTCTAAGCATGCATGCAAAAATGAATATTTATTTATAAGTGGTATACATGTCTCTCCACTAGCATATTGTATAGATTTTACAGTAAACTCAGAAATTGAAATTTAAAAGAGACAACATAGAAATAAAAAATCTAACATTCTCTTTCCCTTTGGATGTGTTCACCCCCTTTGGAGAATTCACTGGCTTAAAATATCAAGGGGGAGACGATCAGAGAAACAAGAGAGAGTATGTGAAGGAAAAGTTCTCTGTGTTAGGAGCCCAACTTCTGGAGAGCCAGAAAAGGCTTAACTAAGGCAGCAATATCTGAGATAGGATCTGAAAGAAGGAGTTTGGTGTTTCCAAAGCAAAGGGATTGAGAGTATAGCGTTCCAGGAATAGTGTTTGTAGCTAAAAGCATTGTGTGTTCAAGAAACTAAGAGAATGCCAGTGTTGTTGAGGAGGCAATGTCATAAAGAGATGAAGTAACATGATCACATCATCAACTTTCTAGTTCTGGTTGAGTGATTTTTTTCCTGTTATTGCTAAAAACAGGTCTGAAATAATACAGATTAACAAAGGACTTAAGGAAAAGTCTTATATAGCAAATTACTGCTTAACACACTAAAAGCAATTTTATAATAAACATACTGTGATATTTTGCAACAGTAAAAAGTAGTGTATTTTGAAAAGGAAAACTAAAACAAGGCCAAATTAAAATTGAAAATGTTTCTCTTATTTTCAAGTAGTCTGAAGGACAACACCCAGGAAACAAATCAATACCACCTACACTTACACTATATTCTCTCTTACACTTATAATGTTTAATACTTATTTGGAAACATTTTACTCAGGGTCTTTTAACTGTATAATAAAAGGAAAATCTCTCCAGTAATTATGAAAGCAATATTAATGAAAGTAACAACAACAGCATACATGATGGCTCAGTTCTGAGCACCTTATATGTGTTATGAAATTTAATCCTCATAGTGACTCTGTGAAGTAAATGCTATTGACATCCCATTTTAATTAACAAGAAACTCATAGATGATAGAGCCAGTCTGACTGGAAGCCACCCTCATATGTACTATTCTATGCTTTTTCTCAAGAGCTACTCCATAAGACAGTGAAAAATGGTATAAAATTGGAGCCAGAATAACTGGCTTATGGGAAAGACTTAAGTGCTTGTCCTTTTGGATTTAAAAACAAAAAATCAAAGCTTAACAACTTTTTAAAGCTGAGCAGCAGGGAGTTAATATTAAATGGCGTATTTTCCTGGCTACACAGTGAAATCAATTATTTTATGATACATAAGATATATATCTATTACATGGTATCTGTTACACCTAAGATGTATAGGATCTGAGAATGATGTGTATGTGTAGGATTCTGTATGTGTAGGATCTAAGAATGATACAGAAACCTACAAAAATATATTTTCTGCCTTCTGGAACCTATACCTATTCAAGTGAATATTAAATCAAGGCAGTGATAAATAACAAATGAATGGAAGAATCATAGGGGCTATAGAAATTCAAAATTAGAAAAGATTATTAGTCATGTTACCAAAAAGAACATGTACATTTACACTTTATCATAAAGGAATACTTCAGTTCAACCAAGCTGTAGAAGAGTGTGGGGAACTGTGTAATCCATTAAGAGGTAACTGCATGAGCAAATGTACCAAGGCAGAAATGTGGAAGACAGTCTGAAACAATTAGTAGACTGATATAAGGAGAAAAAACTAAATACTGGAATGTAATGGGATATGCATTTGAGAAATGTGATTATAGTGGGCCCTGATTGTTTAAGGAGTTTTAAATTTATCCCAATAAATGGGAGAGGTATTGAAAGCTTTTGGAGCAGAAAAGTGACAAAATAAAAAGGCTCTTAGAAAATAACAGGTAGGAAGAAGTGAAGAAGAGAGACTTAGTTTTAGAGGTCCTAATTAGGAAATAGTTGGAATAATCAGGACAAGATGTAATAAAAAGTGGAATTGAGATGTCGTCTTGAAATTGATCTGAAGGAATGTGTTTTAAACATATTTTAAAGGAAGAATTGATAGAACATTATGTCTAATTAATATTAGAGGTGTTAATATTTATATTGCCAAGAGTAAATGAGGCTTTATTCCTTGTTTTTGATAATTCATAATTTTTTTATCCTCTTGATTTTTACATTACACCTAAATTGTAACCAAATTACAATGTGAGATGTGGTACTCTAACATTGTATTGTTTAAATTCAAAACCATCCCATGATACTTTGTTTAAATTATTAATAAGAATTTGCACGGCTTAAATGAGATCAAGTCAGATTCATCTCATAATATGGAGCTTACTCAATGGCTGGTATTGAAGAAGTTCTCTTTGCATAGCTGTTGAATTATTGCCTCTACTAACAGGTGTTGTCATGAGATGTGCATTGTAATATTGAGCCAGTAAATCTCAAATGTGTTTCATAGCACAATGGAAACTTTTGAAAGACCAATAGTTCCTGTTAAAAATGAGACTTTTTAATACTGTGTTTAAAACTTCTTTCTCACAGCCTTCACTGCTATATGTTATAAGAATTATCAGAAGCAGATCCTGAATACTTTATAACATGTAACTTTAAAATATCCTCAAAAGTATTACTATGTTTTGATCACATTTGGATCTTGTGCTATATCCACAGAAAATATTTTAAAATATTTCATGATTGAATTTAAAATCATCTAAAATTTACATCGGAAAAACTAAAAATTTATTCAATTTTGTTTTACAGTGATCGGCATGTTGGTAAAATTTATTCCAAATGTTCTTCATTTCTGGATTATGTCAGACGGTCTCTAAAGAAGCTTGGATTAGATGAGTCCAAGGTCAGTATATGATGACTCATTATTTTCAGAAAAGACAGAAGGACTTCTATTTTGTAATGAATTGAGAGAATACAAAATAGTTTCCCTTCTACTTTTCTCTCATTTGTGAAGAGGCCCAAATTATATTGAAACCAGACCTCCATTGTCTTTTTTCCAGTTTATCCTACTTGTCATTGTAGAAAGTTTACTGTCATGTATCTCTGAGAGTTTCCCTCTTTTAGTTTGAGTTAAACATGTGCCAATTTGCAAATCAAAATAAAGTTAAAAAGCAGGACAACAGTACAAGTGAGAACTAGAAGTAAAGCAAGAGAGAATGGTTTTAATTTTGAAATGCATCTATTTACAGCTTATATAACTAATTAAAATTAAAAATCTTAAATTCAAAAGCCTTCAAATAGGAGAATCTTGAAAAGTTGTAATATCATAGGAGGCCCAAGTTAATAATTGATAACATATTATTGAAAGCAGAAAGATAAACTTGTTGACTGATAGTAATAAATATTCTACCACTGAGAAAAAAAATAGCTTTCAACATTATTCAGACAAGCTATTAACTAAAATATTATGAACTTGGATTACTCCGGTATTTTGAATTGACTATAAATTGAAACAAACAATAGAGTAGGTGATCAAAGGAATGAAATAGTTTTCTTGAAAATGTTACAAGGACATAACAATGTTATATCAAAGCTAAAAGGTATTATTATTTATTAAATCAATTATTCATTTAGTCCCCAGTTGCTTTATTACTTAAAGCAGTTGAAGTGGGACTAGTCAGTTTCCTCCCCTTTAAAATAGCTATAAGAAAGTCATAGGATTTAGGAAGGATTAAATTAGGTAATATATATGTAAAGTTCTTAACACAATATATATAGTAAATGCTAACTATATAATACTTTTAATTATTGTAATCCTTTTATATGTACTACGAGTAATAACACAATCAACATGATGCTTAAAAATATTTTAATTTAGTCACTAAAATGAAGACTCTCCTAGTTTTTGCATAAATGAAGGAGAATAGACAAGGTTACACTAATTAATTTATTAGGTTATTTAAAAAAAATGTTTTTCATTCATCTGACTGATCTTCCTTCCAATTAGTCTTACCTAGTGCAAACCTTTAGTGCATATCTCATTTCATGTCTTATATTTAATATCAAGAACACAAACCTGAGCATTATTGTCACAAATTAAGAGCTATAGTTTTACTTAATACATTTAAAAATTTATTATCATTCTTTTTCCTTTGTTTTCCCAGTTTGTCTTTAATAATAACCACAGCAAATGTTTCTTAATATATTTATTAGTATATAAGTAATAAGAAATTAATAATAGTTAATATTTACTAAACACTTACTCTGTGATAGATATTATGCTATGGACACCACAAACATTACCTTATTTACTTTTCACAAAAACATTTACAGTGGATAGCTTCCAGTCCAGCATATAAAAGCTTGGAAACTGCCGCTCAGTCTTAGCAAGTAAAAGCTAAAAAAAAACCCAGAAAAGTCCACAAATCTTAAGAGAAGTGAGGTCACAGGGCAAACTGCTACTTCTCAAACTGGAAAGACACGCAAATACAGAGATTTACAACTTATAGGAACAGAAACCTCCACAGAAACCAGTGCCAGGGTAGGAAAACCTGAACTGTAATTGACAAATTGTTGGAGGCTCAGTGTGGACAACTTTAGGAATTAAAAACTACAGAGGGAACCACTCGTAAGGGACCACCCACACCTTTGTGAGTTTTACCTTAATGAGCTCAACCAGGTTTTAGAGAATAATAGAGAAAAATGTTACCTCTTGCTTCCATCAAGGGGAGGAGAAAAATATTTTTGAAATACGCCAGAGCATTCTACTCTTCTGAATACTTTCTTATGAATAGTTTCTCAGAAGAAACTATATAATCAGAACTTAACCTGCTTGTGTTTTATCAGGGCCTAACTCACCTGAGGGAAGGAAAATACCTAGCTTCAGCCAACTCTAACATTCCATGGGGGAGAAAGAAAATATCCAACTCCAGCCTACTCTAGCCATCCTGCGCCACCCAAGAAAGGGTAAAAATACTGAGAAGCACTGATAAAGTGTGTAGTGCAGAGACACAGGCTCAGTAAAAGACTGAGACATAATTATAGGACTACAAACCATTGAAAATCATTTCCCCTCCCCTCACACATTGCTATCATGTCACTACGGGCTTATTTACAGCAGCTGCTTTTACCCAGTACTTTATATCTGGCTATCTAGAAAATTACAAAGCATACTAGAAGACAACACAGATTGAAGAGACAGAGCAAACATCAGAACCAAATTCAGATATGGCAAAGATGTTAGAATTGTCAGACTAGGAATTTAAAACAATAATGAGTTCTAATGGACAAAGTAGATAGCCTGCAAGAACAAACTGAAAATGTAAGGAAATAGATTGAAATTTTTAGAAAGAACTAAAAGGAAATGCTAAAGATCAAAAATACTGTCACAGTAGCCAGCCATGGTGGCTCACACCTGTAATCCCAACACTTTTTATGGCCAAGACAGGAGGATTATTTGAACCCAGGAGTTTGAGACTAGCCTGAGCAACATGGTAAGATTCCATCTCAGCAAAAAATTCAGACATTAGCTAGTGTGGTGGCATGCACCTCTAGTTCCAGCTACTTGGGCAGCTGAGGCAGGTGGATTGCTTGAGCCCAGGAGTTGGAGGCTGCAGTGAGCTATGCTTGTGCTGCTACACTTCAGCCTGGATGACAGAGCAAGACTCTGTCTCCAAGAAAAGAAAAACAACAAAAAAAAATTACTGGTATAGAAATGAAGAATGTTTTTGATGGGCTTATTATTAGGCTGAACACACCTGAGGAAAGAATCTCTGAACTTGAGGATCTATCAATAGAAAACTTGAAAACTAAAAAGCAAAAAGCCCATATGTTTCAAGCTTAGGAAGATCAGTTATGTGCAAAATGAAATCATACCTAAAAGTAATAAACATACTGAGTCACCTTTGCTCTATTTATTCCAGAAGATCACAGTGATACTAATCTTTGGATAACTTCCTCTATCAACCTGAGAATATCAGGATCACTTCAGCCTCCTTGCCACTGGCTTTGTCTTCCTTGACTTTTTTGACAGGATCTGCTGATGGCTTCACCTTCACATCCACTTACTTTAGTTCTTAAGTAAATTATGTCCTAACCAAGAACCTTCAGTTCCACCATCAGGTGGTGAGAACTACCTCAGTTGCTAACCCATCTTCTCATCACATATGATGTGGGGAGGGTCTCTGAACAACTGTGTCTGTAATCCACTCATCCAACCCACACTCTAAAAGTTACAGTATATGGTCCTCCTTTGCTTATCTAGACCCCCTTTATATAGATTTACTTTAAAAAACAAATTGAATAAATAAATACATGGAAGAGAAGAGACAAATGTCCTATGGAAAAGAGTTCCAAATAATTTATATAGATATTTCCTCCTCAAGGAGATAGAGCAAAACTCCCCATTCTTTAAGTGTGGCCTGTGCATAGTGACTTTTTTCCAAAGAGCATAGTATGTGAAGGGGGAAAAAAGAGGAACTTTCCAGTAAAGAACCTGACAAACAGAATCTCAGCCAAGTAATCAAGGTCAACATGAACAGTGATAATTCATGTTGATAGTATGTACTCTTGTTATAAGGTGAAGAATATGGTACTTTATTCCTATGATGGTTCTTTCAAAAGCCTATCCCCACTCTATTTATGAGAAAAGTATCTGACAAATCCTGGTGGAGAAACATTCTACAAAATACCTGACCAGTACTTCTCAAAACTGTCAAGGTCTACAAATCAAGACAAGTTTGAGAAACTGTCAAAGCCAAGAGGACTAATTGCAGTGTGGGTTCCCTGGATGGGATTCTAGACCTGGAAAAGGACATTAAATAACAACTCAGGAAATTTGAATATTATGTGGACTTTAGTTAATAATAATGTATCAATACTGGTTCACTAATTATAACAAATATACCATATTGTAAAATGTTAACAATAGGAGAAAAGAGTATATAGTATATGGAAATTCTCTGTCCTATTTTCAAAATTTCTATAATACAAAACTGTTATAAAATATATTTATTTTTTAGAAACAACATGAGAATTAATGTTTACCAAACCTTTGCTTTGTGCCAGGCACTGTGCTAAAAGCTTTGTTTATATTATCTCATTGAATACTAAGGATGGCCATATGAAATAAGTGATATTATTATTGTTTTGTAGATGAGGAAATTGAGACACAGGTTAAGTGGATTTCTTTAGCCCAAAATCTAGGAAACTGGGGAGTAAGGATTCTAATCCAGGCTGTTTAACTCTAGAACTCATGCTTCTGTTTGTCATACTTATATAACTTATTAACAGACATTGAGCACAAGAATGCTTGTTTGGCATTTTTCCAAAACTAGCAATCATCAGGTAAAGAAAATTCATGCTTGTCAACAGACAAAATAAATTTACTTCTAAAACAGATTAAGGAATTAAAGTTTGAAATAAAAGCAGAAGAAAATCAAGAAATGATGAATTGTACTAAAGAGTTAAAGAAGATTTGCTTGTATCCAGGACTTCAATTCGTGAAAGTCTGTCTGATAGGATGAAATTGGTCAAATGTATGAAACATTTTGGGTACTAAGACATATACTGTCTAACGCATAGAATATATTAGAGTTAAAATCACTGTCAACAAACTACAAGGAAAGTGGGAAGAAAAAAGAAAAAATACACTAAAGCACATGAGCATGATTTCTTATATATTGTCTCCCACTCCAGTTTCTCTTTAGGACTGGATATCTTCCTCTAGGTGATTCAGAGCCCACTAAGTAGCCCTACTAGGGCCCTACTGCGCAACTTAACTCATGCTAGTTCCTTCTTCTAGAGACTAAGAGTTGAGCAGTAGGGAGCAATGGCATTCATGACCAGTACTTTCAGCTGCCATTCAGTGTGCACTCTCAGTTTATAAGTTTGCATGTCTATTCTTGCCTAAGGATAATCGATACCAGGCAGTGCTTCCATTCCAATGCCTTCCTTTTATCTTCAGGAAGTTGAAGAGGCTCTCACTGGCTTTAACACTTACTAATGATGTCTATGGTACGAGACCATGAATATACATTCATGAGACCATGAATATACAGTGCTATAGACTGCTAGAACTTAATTCTCTTTATCTAGCTATAATTTCGTATTCTTTAACAAATCTTTCCCTATACCCCACTTCACCTTACCCTTCCAAGCCTCTGGAATCCTCTGTACTATATTTTATTTCTATGAGATTAATGTTTTTTCCAGCTTCTGCATATTGAATGAGAACATACCATGTTTAACGTTCTGATCCTGGCTTATTTCATTTAACATAATGTATATACATAAATATACATGTCTATAACATGAGACCATGAATATACTTCTGACATCTATCTTTAAGGTGTATATGTACAGCTTAAATGAAATACTGTCTTCATTTTAAAATTTTCATATAATATCTGTAATCTAATGAGCCTAATTTTTAAGCATTTAATTTAAAAAGTTGATTAAAGCCTGAAATCACTCTTTAAGCACTGAATTTTTCACTTAAAAACACATGAATACAGTCATTCCTTGCTGTCCTCAAGAGATTGGTTCCAGGACTCCCATAGATATCCAAATCCGTGGATGCTCCAGTTTCTAGTGTCACAGTATTTGTATAGAACCTATGCATATCCTCCTGTATACTTCAGATAATCTCTAGACTACATATAATACCTAATACAGTGTAAATGCTATGTAAGTAGTTATACTGTATTGTTTTCTTTTTTATTTTTTAAATGGACAAATAATAATTGTACATATTTATGATATACATAGTGATGTTGCAATATATATTGTGTATAGTGATTAGACCAGGGTGATTAGCATATCCATCATCTCAAACATTTAAAAACATTTTGTTTTGGGGACATTCAGGATCCTCCTTCTAGCCATTTGAAGCTACATAGTATATTGTTGTTAACTATAGTCATCCTACAATGCTATAGACCACTAGAACTTAATCCTCTTATCTAGCCATAATTTTATATTCTTTAACAAATCACTCTCTATAATGTACTTCCCCCTACCCTTCCAAGCCTCTGGAATCCTCTGTATTACATTTTACTTCTACAAGAGTAGCTTTTTTTCCCCCAGCTTCTGCATCTGAGTGAGAAGATACTATGTTTTTAACGTTCTGATCCTGAGTTATTTCACTTAACCTAATGTTCTACAGTTCCACACATGTTGCCAGAAATGAAGGATTTCAACATTATTTATGGCCAAATCATATTTCATTGTTTACACATACCACATTTTCTTTGTCCCTATTAATCTGTTGATGGACACTTAGGTTGATTCTATATCTTGTCTATTATAGATAGTGCTAAAGTAAACATAGGGATGCAGATGTCTCTTTGATATATTGATTTCTTTTCCTTTGGGCAAATGTCAAGTAGTGGGATTGCTGGATCACATGATAGTTCCATTTATAGTTCTTTCAGGAACCTCTATCCTCCTCTCCATAGTGGCTATACTAGTTTACATTCTCACCAACAGAGTATAGCAGTTTCTTTTTCTCTGCATCTTTGCCAGCATTTGTCATTTTTTATCTTTTTCATAATAGCCATCCTAACTGGGTGAGATGATACCTCATTGCAGTTCTGATTTGCATTTCCCCGATGATTAGTGATGTTGAGCATTTTTTTTTCTATTTGTTTTTTTTTTGGCCATTTGTATGTTTTCTTTTGAGAAATGTCAGCTCAGATTATTTGCCCATTTTTTCATTGTATGTTTGGGTTTGTTGTTGTTTTGCTGTTGAGATATTTGAGTTTCTTGTATATTCTGGATATTAATTCCAGGTTGGATGAAGAGTTTACAGATATTTTCTCCTAGTCTGTAGATTGTCTTATTCACTCTGATGATTGTTTTGTTTGCTCTGCAGAAGCTTTTTTAGTTTGATATAATCCTCTTTGCTTATTTTTGCTTTAGTTGCCTGTGCTTTTGAGGTCTTACTCAAAAATATTTTCCCAGAGCAATATCCTGAAGCATTTCCCCTATGTTTTCTCCTAGTAGTTTTGTTGTTTTGGGTCTTATATTTAGGTCTTGTAATCCATTTTGAGTTGATTTTTGCATAGGATGAGAGGTGAGGTGTCTAGTTTAATTCCTCAGCATATGGATATTCAGTTTTCCCAGCAACATTTATGGAAGTGATTATTCTTTCCCCAATGTATATTCTTGACATCTTTGTCAAAAATTAGCTGATTTTGGTGGACACATGGATTTATTTCTGGGTTCTCTGTTCTATTGCATTTGTCTATGTTTCTGTTTTTATGCCAGTATCATGTTGTGTTGGTTACTACAGCTTTGTAGAATATTTTGATGTCTAGTAGTGTGATGCTTCCAGCTTTGTTCTTGTGGTTCAAGATTGCTTTGGCTATTCTGGATCTTTTGTAACTCCATACAGATTTTAATACTTTTTTTTTCTAATTCTGCGTAGAATGTCATTGGCATTTCAGTAGGGATTGCACTGAACCTGTACATTGCTTTCGGTAGTATGGTCATTTTATATTATTAATGCTTTGGATCCATGAGCATGGGATATTTCTCCATTTGTTTCTATCCACTTCAGTTTCTTCAGTGTTTTGTTGTTTTCCTTGTAGAGGTCTTTTACCTCCTTGGTTAAATTTATTCATATGTATTTTATTTCCTTTATGGCTATTGTAAATGGAATTGACTTCTTAATTTTTTAATCTAGTTCATTTTGTATGGAAATGCAATAATTGTTGTATGTTGATTTTGTGTTCTGCAATTTTACTAGATTTGTTTATTCTAAGACTTTTTTTGGTAGAATCTTTAAGTTTTTCTATATGTAAGATCATATCATCTGGAAACAAAGATAATTTTACTTTCTCCTTTCCAATTTGGATGTCGTTTATTTCTTTCTCTTGCCTAATTGCTCTGATTGGAACTTCCAGTACTTTGTTGCATGAGAGTGGTAAGACTGGGCATCTTTGCCTTGTTAAAGTTCTTAGAGGAAAAGCTTTCAGTTTTCCCCCTTTGAGTATGATCTTAGCTATGGAATTGTCATATATGGCCTTTATTATGTTGAGGTATGTTTCTTCCATGTCAAGGTTGTTGAAAGCTTTTATCATGAAGGGATGTTGAATTTTATCAAATGTTTTTTCTACCTCTATTGAGATAATACTATAGTTTTTATCCTCCATTCTGTTGATGTGATGTCACATTTATTGCTTTGTGTATATTGAACCAGCCATGCATTCCTGAGATATATCTCATTTGATCATAGTGTGTTATCTTTGATATTCTGTTGGATTCAGTTTGCTAGTATTTTGTTGATTATTTCTGTGTTTAATGTTTGTTGGAGGTATTGGCCTGTAGTTTTATGTTTTTATTGTTGTGTCCTTATCTGCTTTTGGTATCAGTGTTATGCCAGCCTCGTATAATGGGTTAGTAAGAATTCCCTACACTTTGATTTTTTATAGTAGTTTCAAATGAATTGGTATTCATTCTTTTTTAAACTTTTAGTAGAATTCATCTGTGAAGCCATCGGTCCTGGAACTTTCTTTGTTGGAAGACTTTTAATCAAACTTGTTACTTATTATTGGTCTATTGAGGTTTTCTATTACTTCCTGGTTCAATCCTGGTAGGTTGTATGTGTCTGGGAACTTGTCTGTTTGCACTGCATTTTCTAATTTTTTGGTGTATAGCTGTTCATAGTAGTTTCTAATGATTCTTTTTATTCTGTGGTATGTGTTGTGATTTCTATATTTTTCTTTTGGATCTTCTTTATTTGGTTCTTCTTGCTTGTTTTTTTTTTTTTTTTTTTTTTTTTAGTTTGTTTCACTAATTGTAGATTTTGTTTATTTTTTCAAAAGCAATTTTTTTGTTTTGTTCTCTTTTTAATTCTCAATTGCATTTATTTCTGCTCTTATCTTAATTTTTTTCCTTCTACTAATTTTAGATTTGCCTTGTTCTTGCTTTTCTAATTACTTGAGATGTATATCATTAGGTTCTTTATTTGAAATATTTCTAGATTTTTGATGTAGTTATTTATTACTATAAACTTACCCCTTAATACTGCTTTTGGTGTGTTTAGTAGGTTTTAATCTGTTATGTTTCTGTTTTCCACTGTTTCAAGGACTTTTTAAATTTCATTCTTAGTTGTTTTTTTTTGTTTTTTGTTTTTTTTTCTTTCACCCATTGGTCATTCAGGAGCATGTTTTTAAATTTCTGTGTATTTTTTATAGTTTTGAGTTTTCCTCTTGTTATTGATGTTTAGTTGTATTCCATTGCGGTCAGATAAGATACTTGGTATGATTTTGATTTTTTAAAATTTTTGAGACATTTTTGTGTCCTAATATATGGTTAATCCTGGTGAATATTCCATGTACTGATGAAAAGAATGTGTATTCTGCAGCTGCTGGGTGAAATGTTTTATAAATGTCTGTTCTGTTAGTTTGATCTAATGTGCAGTTTAAATCTAATGGGTTTTTTTTGTTGTTGCTTGTCTGTTTAGATGCTCTGTCCAATGCTGAGAGTGAGGTGAAATCCCAAACTATTACTGTATCGGGGTCCATCTGTCTCTTTAGATCTAATAATATTTGCATTATATATCTAAGTATGCCAGTATAAGGTGCATCTGTATTTAAAATTGTTATATTCTCTTGCTAAAGTATTCCCTTTATTATTATATAGTTTCTCTCTTTATAGCTATTGGCTTGAATTCTGTTTTGCCCAATCTACTCCTGCTCAATTTTTCCGTTAGCATAGAATACTTTTTTTTTTTTTTTTTTTTTTTTTTGAGATAGTGTCTCAATGTCTGGAGAGCCGTGGTGTGATCTTGGCTCCCAAAGTGCTGAGATAACAGGTGTGGGCTACCACATCTGGCCAGAATATCTTTTTGTAATCCCATCACTTTAAGCCTATGAGTGTGTTTACAGGTGAGGTAAGTTTCCTACAGGCAGCATATGGTTGGGTCTTTAAAAAAATAATAAAATAAAAAAATTAATTCTGCCAGTTTGTATGTTTAAAGTGGAGAATGTAGTCCATTTACATTCAGGGTTATTATTGACAGGCGAACACTTACTTCTGGCATTTTTCAAATTGTTTTCTGGTTGTTTTTTATAGCTTTTTTTGGTCTTGCTTACTTCTTAATTATATTTGCGATTGGGTGGTTTTCTGCAGTGATAAAGTTTAATTCCTTTCTCTTTTGTATATCACCCTTACCAGTGAGTTTTATAGTTTTCATACTTTGATAATGGTGATTGTTATCTTTTCACTTCCAGATGTAGGACTCATTTGAGTACTATAAAGGCCAGTCTAAGGGTGATGAATTCTCTTAGTTTTTACTTATCTGTGATCTGTGAATTATGTTATTTCATCTTCATTTCTGAAAGATGACTTTTCTGGGTATCATGATCTTGGCTGGCAGTTTTTTTGTTTTATCTTTCAATGTTTTGAATGTATCATGCCATTCTTTCCTGGCCTATAAGCTTTCTGCTGAAAAATCCACTGTTCATCTAATTGAGATTCCCTTATATGTGACTTGATGCTTTTCTCTTGGTGATTTTAGAATTCTTTATTTGTTCTTGACTTATAGTAGTTTGACTTTAATATGCCTTGGAGAGGACCTGTTTGAGTTTAATCTATTTGGGGTCTTTGAGCTTCCTGGACAAGGGTATTCATTTATCTTCCAAGACTTGGGAAGTTTTCGACTATTATTTAATTAAGTATGTTTTCTATACCTTTTTCCTTCTCTTTTCCTTCTGGAATACCCATAATGCAAATATTTGCTTGATGGTCTTAAGGGTGTCCCATAAAGCTTTTTTGTTTTGTGTTGTTTTTATAAATTTGTTTTTGTCTGTCTATTATTTCAGAAGACCTGTCTGTCTTCTGGTTCAGAAATTTTTTCTTCTCAAAGTCTGTATGATTTTTCAAGCCTACTGTACAAACTAAAATTAAGATCTTTGCTAATTTTTTTAAAATAACCCAGCAGAAAACAAGTACTGTTCCAGGCCACTAATAATCTCCCTATAATCTATTTAAATTTGTAAAGGTCAAATCCAGCAAAAAGATTGGCAAACTGGAAAATTTTGATTTTCAAATAAATTTCTAAGTATTCTTATGAAAAGATGTAACAAGGAGATAAAGAATGGAATTCTGAGAGAAAGTTGTCTTTATTTACAAAGACCTTTGGAGGAAGGGTCAGCTAAGGACAAGGAGACATGAGGAGGCACTCTAAATAGAAGCTGGAAAACTACCTCCTAAATAACTCACGCCATAATGCATCCTCAAGAGATCATCTTAAGCCTCATCCTACTTGTGGCAGATACCGTAGTTTTGTATGTACAAGTGAGTAGAGCAGTAGGTTAGCCTGTCATGCTACCTTGCATCTATGATGGAGAGGTGTCATCTATGTACTGGGGCTGAAGGATGTGCCCTATATTTGGATCCTCAGGTGAAATTGTCTGGATTAATAGATCCCATATCACCTTTTAAAAGCAAATGTGTTAATGGGAATCACGTACTTTTTGAAAGGAAATACCTTCTTAACTATAGAAAATGCAACCGAAACTGACAGTGGCTTGTAT